TACGATAATATACTATATTTCTACGGAGGGTATTTTGGAAACCAAAAGAATGGCGTCATGTCTTCAATGACGATACAGGAAGAAGACAAAGGACAAATAAGGATATCCAAGAAGGTTCAAGAAAACAAATCTATTACAACAAACCCGACGATTACTGATTCTAAACTAGAACCTTTGTAAAGACAGTAGTAGCTTTTAAGCATATGAATTAATCTGCCGAAAAATATGCGAAACGCGTAACTGAAGGGCGAAAAGACAATGGACTAACCTAATTTCGCGAAACTTGGCTGCCAAAATGAAAACTCGCATAGAACAGAATAAAAACACTCTTACCAAAATTTAATTGAAAATTAAGTAAAGTAAAGCTGACCTCTGTACAGGAATTTGATGGGCATAAGGAAAAAGTGACAAAATAATGAGTGACAAAGTGCGCACGGCAAAGGAAAATCGGTTTTTAGATAACAGGATGAGGCAAAATACCCGTCAAGAAAGCACTGTGTAAAATGGTCTGTTCAGTTATATTGTTTGACAATACGCACTGAAAACCGGAAATTGTTTAAAGCGTATGCCTATGGACTCAGTGCAGCAAATACAGCCCACATAACATCGGTTGATGATCCCGTGGAGCCAAGTTCATTGTAATTCAAGTCCAGCAGAGTGCGCACGTGTTTCATTGCAAAGTTATACTGATCGTTGGAAAGGGAAGTGAAGGCATTCTCAAGGACATCGGAGCGGTGTGCAACGACAATCAGGGATAACAACCTTTTATCCATTTTTTGTATGTCCTCGGACCAGTTTGAGAGGACGGAGTCCCTTAGCCGTTGCATAACATACTGTTTGGTAGGAGTATTTACAAGGGGGTGAGTCGTCATATCGAATATAACAAAATTTTGTTTTTCAGTGGAACAAATCCCCTTTTCGACCAGATTTTTCGCTATCCTTTCCCTAACATTCCGCATTTGTAGAGTAATTTTAAATGGATTCCAAGTTTCACCTGAAAATATAGAGAACGAGGAGACGACTTACCACTAAGGTACTCAATCCATGACTTAACGTCGGTCGGCTCATTGGTATGGATTGTACGGAGGGCCTCATCCAGAAGCATATCACCTGTTGGAACGTCCTTTACCACTACGACATTCCTGTTCAGGATAAAACGCCGCCTCGCTGATGGGGGCTCCAAAGCTATTCTTCCCCGGAATGCTAACTCAATCAAAAAACACCCACGAAGACCAACACTGATGTTGTCGTTCCAGAAAGAGGTGTATCCCTCGCGGTCTTTATAGCCCAGCAGAAGGATCTCTTCCATAAGTGTTAACCTAGGAAGTTTGGAGTCATCAGCAATTTTAGAATCTGATTGATCATCAACATTTTTGTCGACCTCCGACGAACATTCGGTCGGACGACGTCTACAGACCACAGTCTCCAAGGTATCCGACATTAGGAAATTTCGCAGTACGCGCGCGACTTCAATGTCGTTGTGGTTGGTCGATTTCGTTTAGCTTCAGTCTTTTCAAGAATCAAGATGAAAATAGAGTTTTACTTTCCAGCTCCCTTGAGTTAATCAAAACGGAGATTATACTGGATGTTTCAGTAGCTGCGGAGCGCGTAATTTCCGCTCCAAAACCTGTCAATTTTGGAATTCAGAGCAGAGACAAACTAGTGCTTACCTCCTCCCTCCATCAACTGCACAAACCTTCGGTCTCTCAAGTCAAGTCAAGTCAAATTTATTGAAGGAAATATAGGCAAACGCCTT